ATTACACAAATTTATCTCACTTAGAATGGACTGCATATTTTTGTTAATGAAATGCATTCACCATATTTCGTTAAGGTGATGAATAAAGAGTAAATTGATTTTTATACAATAATATGAAAATGCCTTACGTTTCCGTTACATTTAATTTAGCCTCGTTGTCGCAACTTGGTCTTGTTGTCAGGGTTACTTAGTAGAACGCACCTCGTCCGAATTCGTCTGATGCTGGGAATCATGACAACTACTATGGCAGACAACTTCAGACTAGCTGCGTTCTACTAAGTCGCCCTGACAACAAGACCAAGCTCCCGACAACGAGGTCAACCCACTTTTATAAATCGAAAGGAGACTGCGATTCTTGGTCTGCATATCTTCAATTAATTTAGCATTGTTCCCAAAGGATATTATCATCCAAGCAGCAGTGGACATCTCAGTTTCGACCTGGGTTAAACTGGTCTCATCAGCACCCAAAGCGGGACTCTTGACCGGTTAGGCACTAGGCCAAACTGCAAACGATTGGGATGCAAGGCCATGTTGATTTCAATAGAAGCATAAGGCCTTTTCATATTAGTGTCGGCAAATTCATCTATCAGCCCCATATCACATAGAAGAAAAAGGGTGAATACTGACAATATATATGATCTACCGGTAGTCTCGAAAACATTATTGTAAACGAAAGCTAAGTAATGAAGTTGATTACTATAGCAAATAATGCTTGCTTCATCGACAGCCACACCACAGAATGTAATATGGAAAAATGCCCGACTTTCTGTGGAATTCACAGCTGCTCTATGACTCAAGGGCACTCGTGGCAGTATGGCGTAGTGGCTAACCTATCGCGTTTATACACTGCAACATCATGATTTGATTACCGTTGGGAGAACTGATGAAGGCTAGTCGAGTTCAAAATTGCAATCCTCTCCTGTCTGGATGAGATTAGCTTTGGGAAGTGGAATCATAAGGCCTATTCACATGATTGTGGGGAAATTCAACAACCAGCCCTTCATCACCTTAACGAAATAGGGCCAGTATGATCTACTCACAAACGAAAAAACATGTTTAGAAGTGGGGTGACCTCGTTGTCGCAACTTGGTCTTGTTGTCAGGGCGACTTGGTAGATCGCACCTAGTCCGAAGTCATCTGCCATGATAGTAGTCATAATTCCCAGCATCAGAAAAATTCGGACGAGGTGCGTTCAACTGAGTCACCCTGACAACAAGTCCAAGTTGCGACAACGAGGTCAACCCACTTCTATACATCGAAAGGAGACTGCGACCAATCCAGAGGACACACCATCTTGGTCTTCATATCTCCAAAAAAACATGTTTGCTTAATTGACGATACCATTGCTAAAATGTCCGTTGCTTTGAATATGATTTCTGCCCCGTGACTAAGTGACACCCTTAGTGGTATAATGAAAT